CCGCGCATCTCTACCGGGCCGGTAAAGATGCCGCTAGTACCGGCTCAGACACCGTTAACTGTTAGCATTAGCTGTTCTCTGTTAGCGGCTAACAGATGATAGCGAGCGCATCGTGACCACAAGTTCACTTCACGTTAGCCTTATTTGGCTGCAAGCGTCAACCAATGTCTCCAACTATTCAGTCTCACGGGAACATAAACCATATTTATTCACTTACCATATGATGATAAAGCAGACTGACGCTGAATTGAAGCCAACAGTCTGAGCAGAAGTAAAATGTGGTTTGGTGCAGTTTGGGAGTGTTCAGGCGCCACGCCCCTCCTTTCACCGGTAAAAACATACAAGTGTGAGCCGTCTCCACTCAGAGCCATTAGTACAGCAAATACTAGTTTAAAATAGTTTACAATTCACACTTTGTTTAGTAATGGTCCCGCCTTTTGCAAAATATTAAAAAGATTAGTAATATTAGCATGGCTTAATATGTAAAAGAAAATTTGGGTTTACAGTGTACGCCCTCTTCTAATTTAACATAATGAGCTTTTCTTTTGCGTGTCTTCAGACATTTTACCTGAGACCATATGAACCAATTACACGTGAGGACAAAGAGTCACTGTTCTAGCTTGGTAACAACTATCATCATATTATAATAACACAAAAGGATACAACAATGAAAACAGACAGCAGATCCAAGTAATGTAACGGACAGCACAGGCCAGAAATGGTAGGGAAACAACCAGCATAAAACAGCACTACAGAAGCAAGTATTGTTCTAATATTAAGACCCACTCTCTCTATACTGTGACCAGACCATATGTTTACATAACAGCTTGAATTTATGGATATTTTGGCATTGCTTGAGATGTGTATCCAGACTGTTCCAGAGTTTTACACCACATATACACACAGAAACTTTTATGGGACATTGGGCAATTTGAAACTTCCACACCCTCTTAAATTATGCGTTCTCTCTCAAGATTTGTAGATTACTTGGTAGTAAATAGTTAACTATATAGATATAGACAGACTGTTACAGGTAAATCTATACAGTTCATTCCCTTTGAATGATTAATGCATTTGTACATGGTCCTTAACTAATAAAAATCTAACCAACTAAGTAATTAACGGAGCGTTTCTGGCAGATGGTAATATGGACATTTCCCACCTCTGGAAAAAAACAAAACAAAAAGCTGGATTACCGCTTGAGCTGGCCAGACTCAGACCACAGACTCACAGTGTCCAGTCAAAAAGCTCAGCCCCTCTGTTTCTAGTCTTCACCTCCACTTCTAATTCCATTCATCTCTCCTCTCCTTCCCCCTTATTGGTTTAGTCTGGCCAGTAGAGCCAGAACTACAGGTAAGCCTCTAGTGTGTGCTGCACTCTTGTCATTAGGTCCAGGTGCACAGTCACTCAGGCCAAACCCAGGAATGAAAGAGAAAACACAAAGATGCTGCCGGTGAGTAAATCTACCTGTAAAATTTGTTTTTTAGTATAGTTAAAATAGTGTTAAGACACTAAGGACACAATAGTGCCAAATAATCTGTCTTAATTCATCAGTAAAGTGAATATTCTGTTTAATTTAAGTAGCACAATGAAAAGTCTTGGTTAGATTGTAAATCTTTATCTCAAAGAACAAGGAACAATCAACAAAGTATAATACCTAATTCTTTGGCCATACATTTTACACAACAATGGTGGACTCTGCCCTGCACTGTAGATGGCATTTCTGGAACAGAGAAAATAGTAGAATACTGGACACAGCATTATAGTGCTCTTTTGAATTGTGTTAATTGTAATGTTTTTAATATGGACCTAATTGATAAAAATGAATGTATGACTGTATACATGAGGTGTACTACACTCTAAACATGTGACCACAACTTGTGTTGAATTTAAACACATCATTGTTCTATTTGGAACAAAACAACTTGTATTGATAGTGACACATTAGATGTGTCAATCTAGTGACAAAATAATATGTATTATGTGTGACATGATGTATTAAATGCTCTTTACAAATTAGGGTGTTGCTCAAAATTCCAGTTGCGCAACACAAACATGTCATTCCACAGCATTCATTAATATGAATAAAGATGAAGGCACAAATTGAAATGTGTTTACTTTGGAATGTTTTTTTTCCTCTCAGTGCAATAAATCAACAGGCTCTAATATTTAACTCTGCCTTCAAAAAAAATAAAAAAATAAAATACCTTGATCTAAGCTTAATACAATACAATACATTAACATTTGAACATTTTAATCCTCCTGGGTCGATCCTTTCTTTCTCCACTTTGTCCATCCCAAAAAAACTTTTCCGCATTTTTGAGTGCAATCTTTGAACACTGAGACAAGCACTTTCTTGATATTTGGTCCTGGGTCCGGCAGCTGGCTCGGGTCTGTCAGCTCCATTTTCACAGGGGAGGTGAAAGAAACCGACTGAAATAAAGATTAAATATGTACAATTTAAAATGTTTACAAGGTACACAGATGATAGCAACAAATTGATTATATGACAAACATATGCATTTTAATGCAATAACATGTATTTTACAATACAATATAAAACCGAATGTTTCCAAATACTATAGTACAAGTTCTACACCGCAGCTCATTCTTAATAAAAATAAACTCAACATTACAACATATAAACCATAACTACTAAATGCAATACAAATGTTACCTTCTAATAAGACCTGTGGATCTGATGGGATTTATGCTGAGCGCCTAAAACATACCACCATAACACTTTGTGAATGAGCAGTGTGGAAAATTATAGGCCTATTGCACTGGCAAGTATCTTGTCCAAAGTTTTAGTAAGAATATTAGTGTGTGTACATGCACATCAGTATCCAGTTTATTATCCATATCCCGGTTATGTCAGTATTCAGGACATGCTGTTTACATGCACGCTGAGAAACCAGGATACTCATATCCCTGTGTACATGATCAAATGTACTATCCTGGTTTCTTGACATAATCTTACAAATACACAAGAGCAAAAATTATACATTTAATAAACCAGGCAATATACAAACATCCATGAACTCCTTCAGCATAGGAAGCTCGGGAGGTTCCTAACCAACAGTAAGGAGCTATGGTCCACTACATTAAACCCAACACTGAACAAACATTGTACAAGTTACACACTGCAGCAGATTCTTAATTAAAATCTTCTGCATAAATAAACTCAACTTCACAACATATAAACCACAACCACTATAGAGCCACATCAGCCTGTTTGATAATATAATTCAGCTTTGCACACATTTGTTTACATTTTACAGAATGAAACTTAAAACTACATGCTCATTTGTATAAACTATAGCTGAAAAAACCAAAAACAAAACAGCTCTTTGCTTGTGCACTGATGTGGTCAGCTAAAAGACATGACTCAGTGGAAAATGAGTGTTCTCTCTGTGACAGAGGATGTGCTGATGATGCTGAGTCTGTTCTGTGTGTATCACATTGGAGATGGTTTATGTTTAATTTTTCAGAGATCATACATGTGCAGGTCATAGGAGTGCAGATTGTACTTGTGCAGGTTTAGCGCAGCTCTTTATTTAACAGTCATTTCACTCATGTTTGGTCACTTTATTTATGTTGGTCACCTTATTTATGTTGGCTACTTCTGAAGTCCCAGGCTGAAACTATATGGCCTGAATCTCACTACCTCCCAAATAGCCTTAACATTACATTAACATTCACCTAGTCTTAACATTGCATCAAATATTCACCAAACATTATGCCACTTACCTAGTCTAGCTGGACTTGCTCGTTGTAGAGATGAAATTAAGGGAAAACTCACCAAAGGTTCCAAACAAGTGATTTGTCTTTGTCTTATTTTTTGGCTTTTTAATTCAGGTTTTACTGTGTCATTCTGTGTCTGGAGATATCAATTATCGCTGTGCCAAGCTCATTGACTCAAAGTTAGGAGACTTGAATAAACGACCGTGGTCAATACACAGCTAGATACGGTGTTTCCAGCTACTCGATGATTACAAGTTTACTCAAAAGCTCAAATACAGAATAATTAGGACAAACCACTATACAAGTACCATAGGAGTATTTACCCTGTGACGAGGTCTGGTGCAGAGCGCTGCCTAGTTCAGTGAGGTCAATGCCAGAACCAATGCAAGATCCAACTTTGCAGTAGATTTTCTCCTAATATTTATACTACAGATCCCACAGGGCTCCTCCCAGGTACGTGCACAGTGGCCAGTCTTCACACAGCAGTTCTGAGAAAAACAATTCTAAGAATAAAGGATGCTTCAAAAACTGCATACTTTACTCTGCAAGCCACAAACTCACCTAGCAAAGTGCAGCATCTTGTACATAGGGCATGCATCTTGTACACGATTTGCATAGTGCCAACATCCTGTGCACAGTATTAAAATGCAGTCTGTTGCAAATACAAAGATACAAAAGCAGTATCAAATAAATCATATTGATATAAGTCATAAAGATGCTACTAAGTGCTATAACAATTGTCTTACTACATTCTATGAGTTACTAATGCTCTAAAAGCTGCCAGATGGATAATAAAAAGCCTCTTAATGAAGCTGGCACCAAAACCTTCATCCCTCAGGCAATGGGTCAGGGCCTTCAACAGTTATCTTGTGATGAAAAGACTGAAAAGTGTTTTAGACATATGCACATTAAACTTTATGTTGCAGTAATTGGGATACAGTGTATACATGCCACAGTATCCCAGTTACTATCGGAATATACAAGCTACAGTATCCTAGTTTCTGATAACTGGAAAACTGCCTTATCTGGGATACTGAAACTGGGATACTGCAGATACATGCACCATGACAAAATCGGGATACCCAAAAAACTCAATCATAACAGGGATACTGATGTGCATGTATACTCAGACCACAGACTCAGACCACAGACTCAGACCACAGACTCAGACCACAGACTGACAGACTGTCTCTTGCGCCCAGACTGAAGTAGAGGTTTGTGTGGGAGAAGGATGCCCGAGCTCTGATGGAGAGGAAAGGGCTTCAGCATCATGGGGCTCACACTGTCTACCAGTCTGGTGTCACAAAGGAGCCAAGATGTTGAGCCTGGCACGCAGCATTAGAAGGTCCTTCACCACTGACAATGCTAAAGTCCTGTCTTTAGCATTAATAATCCTCCTCCTGGCCTGTCACTCAGCGTCCCGTTATTACAGTGGTAAGTGTGTACATGTGTCCCTCCTTCAGCAGAGCTCTTCTACAGGCCTACAGTCTGAGTCCTGTCCTCACTGTGTCCCTCAGACTCTGACTCCTGTCAGTGGCTGTTGTCCACTGGACGCTTCCTGGAGAACAGTGTGTGGCAGCCTGATGGCTGCATGATGCATAATTACAGCAGATGGTGAGTGTTTTTAAGCATGTACCTGATGCACTCAGTGACACAGCTGCAGCTCACCACAGCTCCTGGTGCTCTGTCCTGTCTCGTATTTGGAGTCTGGGCCTCATCTCTCCTCTGGGCCCTGTGCTGGTGTCCTGGTGGCTGTCTCTCTCTTCTGTCACTGGACTAGAGTTTCAGAGTGTAAACTTCTCCAAGTGACTTCTAGAACAGCAAAACATCTTCACCCTGAAACTTGAGTCCAGTGACAGAAGAGAATGTTCTGCTGTTGATCTAGGCAACACTGTGTTTGTGATGGTTGGCTGTGGGGTGTATGGTTCTAATGACTGTAAAGCGCTTTATAAATAAAGTTTGATTTGATCTACTGTACAACTTCAGCTGGTGGTGTGGGGACAACTGTCTCATCCTGAATACGACCTGAATACGTCTTAGACCACTTCTTTATACGGTCTATGTTCATCAAGAGGTTAGAGCCGCTCTTCTTCGTCTGGAGGTTGAGGGCATTTGAAGATGCTGCTCTTGATGTTCTGTCACACTGTTGTGGCCAGTGCCTTTTTCACAGGACAGTTTGGGGCAGCAGCCCGGCCAACAAGAACAGCAGGAGGTTGTAGAATCTGATGAAGGCCAGCTCTGTGACTGGGAGAGCACTGGACTCACTCAGTACAGTGGTGGAGGTGTGCATCCCAAACAGACTGGTCATAATGGACACCTGCTCCCACCCCCTCCACAGTGTCCTGGCTGCACAGAGGAACAGCAGAGGCAGGCGACTCCTCTCACTCTGTTGTAGGACTGAAAGGTTTATAAAGTCCTTTGTCCCCACAGCCATCCGGCTCTGTAACTTGTCAGAACTGGGACTTTATGCACATGGACTTTGCATGTCTTGCACAAGCTTTTAATGATTATTTATTGCCTTTTATTAATCTTTTAACTGTGTGATGAGTTGTGTGAACCAAGCTACATGGACTTCCCCTTTTGGGGATCAATAAAGTGTCTGTTGGTCTCATCTTGTCTCCTCTGCCCCTCACAGGGAGGCCAGCACCTGCCTCGGTGGAAAGAAGGTCATTTTTATTGGGGACTCACGGATTTTCATCTGTTTTTGTCTTTCGTCAATATAATAGCATCTAAACATTACAGCGCCCCCTGGGTAAGAGAGATGGATACTGAAAGACTTGGACTTGATTCCTTTATACTCACTGATAACTTTCTGGACATGTGCTTGTGTGTCTTGTCAGAGGCATGTAGATCTTTTTTTTACAGACAAAAGCTCTTCAGTTCAAGTGGTGAGTTGTTCTGAAATCGAAATCTGAGTTGTGTTCTTCAAACATAAAACAATAAAGTGACAAATTGTGTTTATGCAGCATTTTCTGTGGCACCCGCGGACAAATGACGACATGAAGAAGCGTCTTATTTCACTGTTTAATGTGAGTAGAATGACACAGTTCAACAGTTCTGTTTGTCACTAACCCGAGCCTCACAGTGAACAAGTTGATTTCAATAATTTGTACTTTTTTTTTTTGCATTGGACATTTACATTTAATGCCATCCCTATTAATCAAGGGAAGTGCACACTATCTCTGCAGATTTCTTCACTGACAGGACAGAGACAAATAAATAATATTGCATTTAATGAATCTATACTCATACATTGCACATGCTTTGATGATCTTGTTTTGAGTTCACTTATTATAGGGGCAGGATTTTACTCTGTTCAGTCACATCTCGATCACTCTCAGGACACCTACAATCCCTTTTGAAGAAGTTTCTCTTAAGCTCCACCCAATCCATCTTTTACATTCAGGGAGCAGAGGGAGTCCATTACTCAGTTGTGAGCAGGGTCAGAGTTCACATAATAAATACTTAATCTACGAGAAGGGATACCACCATACCACAGATAAGATACCACAGATCAACACATTAGATAGCCTATCATGTCTTACACTAGAATCAGATGACTTTGCCACTTACCGCACAATGCTTATGTCATTTTTGTCCATAAACACTGTGGTCCTTGTTGTTACAGGCCACAGTAAAGCCTGATGCCCTGATCATTGGAGCTGCTTCGGTAAGTTTGACAATCCACTGCTTAGAAAGAATCCTATGATAACTCCTGTAAATTCTGAGTCGTCTTTAATCAGTGGATCATCAGAGACTTCCGTGCAAGTGCAAAAGCGCTGCACCAGTACAAAGAAAACCTGACATCTATGTCTGCGTCTCTGGAGGGCCTGGCTGAGCATGGAGAGGTCTACTGGCACATTCAAGGTCAGCATTATATTATTACAAACCTGGTGAGTTCACACACTCATGAGAATCCATCTTGGCATGCACCAGATGGACAGTTAGTTGGGCGGACCAGAGCAGCATTGAGGTGTGTGTGGAGCCTCAGCCTATTTATCATCAATTGTCATGGTTAACAATTTATAATTCCCAATGCATTTGCTCAGCTGACTGTGATGCTTCTCATGTTGGTGTGGAGTTTTCAGAGAAGAATCCAAAAAACAAGCTCTGATAGTGTAATATAATTTATTACTATTTATTAAAAAAGAGTAAAAAGCCTTAAGTCCTGTTTTAGTCCTGGTTTATTCTTCCTGTTTCAGTCCTGGAATAAGTCCTAGGTTAGTCCTGGGTTAGTCCTGGGTTAGTCCTGGTTTAGTCTTGGTTCAGTCCGTGGTGTATGCAATGCAAAAGTTTCATATAATCTCAGGTTAACGAGTGGGTGCGATGTTGTACTGCGCGGGTGCAAGTCTCCAAAAATGGACCCGTGCAGCACTCTGCACTGTAGGGCTCCTATTGCTGTCAAGTGATAAAAAAATTGAGAGATTAATTAATTACGATCTGTAATTAATTAATATAATTAATCTCTTTTTAATGTCACCTAAAAATTGCTGAGAAAAGCCTTCAATTTGAGGTATTTTCATTTAAAATCATTATTACATTATTGTGGCAGATCAAAAGACTGATATAGAACAAAAAAAAAGTGACTTTATAAGTCATTTATTGTTTAATAAACTTTAACAGATGCAGTCACTTACATTCCACAGTATCATCATTATTATTACTTTTACTAATCTGCGTGTTGGGAAGGTGACTTTTAAAACGTATTCCTCTACAGATTACAGATTACAGATCCCAAAATATAGTTTTTAACTTAATCAATTTAATTACATGAAGTTAGTAACGTAATCTGAATACTTTGGATTACTTGATATTGTCATGCTTTTTAAAACTACATGAATGTAGCAACCGCATCCTGCAAATGTTGTTCTTGTTTGTTCTCTTCAAATTGGCTGTTGAGCCCAAGTCTCCATGAATAACAAACTGTTTGCTGTAAAGTAGCAAAGACGAGGAAATCTGAACATAATAACTTTTGTCTACTTAAAGACAATAAAAAGTCCAGTCTTTCCTTAACCATATTCAAAATATTATTGATATAGAAATGCTTTATATATGAGATCACTGGTTTTAGTCCTGCTTTAGTCCTGCTTTAGTCCTAGTTTAGTCCTGGAATGGGTTAGTCCTGGTGTTAGTTCTGGTTTAGTCCTGGTTTAGACCTGGATTAGTCCTGGTTTAGACCTGGTGTTAGTTCTAGTTTTAGTTCTGGTTTAGTCCTGGTTTAGACCTGATTTTAGCTCTGGTTTTAGTTCTGGTTTAGTCCTGGTTTAGTCTTGGTTTAGTCCTGGTTTAGACCTGGTTTTAGTTCTGGTTTACTCCTGGTTTAGTCCTGGTTTTAGTTCTGGTTTTAGTTCTGGTTTAGTCTTGGTTTAGTCCTGGTTTAGACCTGGTTTTAATTCAGGGTTTAGTCCTGGTTTAGACCTGGTTTTAGTTCTGGTTTTACTTCTGGTTTAGTTCTGGTTTAGTCCTGGTTTAGACCTGGTTTTAGTTCTGGTTTTAGTACTGGTTTAGTCCTGGTTTAGACCTGGTTTTAGTTCTGGTTTAATCCTGGTTTAGACCTGGTTTTAGTTCCTGGTTTTAGTTCTGGTTTTTAGTTCTGGTTTAGTCTGGTTTTAGTTCTGGTTTTAGTTCTGTTTAGTTCTGGTTTTAGTTCTGGTTTTAGTTCTGGTTTTAGTTCTGGTTTAGTAGTTCCTGGTTTTTTTTAGTAGTTCTGGTTTAGTCCTGGTTTCTGGTTTAGAGTTCTGGTTTAGTCCTGGTTTTAGTTCTGGTTTTAGTTCTGGTTTTAGTTCTGGTTTTTTAGTTCTGGTTTTAGTTCCTGGTTTTAGTTCTGGTTTAGTTAGTTCTGGTTTTAGTTCTGGTTTAGTCTGGTTTTAGTTCTGGTTTAGTTCTGGTTTTAGTTCTGGTTTAGTAGTTCTGGTTTAGTTAGTTTCTGGTTTTAGTTCTGGTTTAGTAGTTGGTTTAGTCCTGGTTTAGTTAGTTTCTGGTTTTCTGGTTTAGTCCTGGTTTAGTCCTTTTAGTTCTGGTTTTAGTCTGGTTTAGTTCTGGTTTTAGTTCTAGTTCTGGTTTTCCTGGTTTTAGTTCTGGTTTTTTAGTC